AAAAATGAAACGGATGATTCTCAGAAAGTTGCACTCTGCAACCAACACCACGGCCTGTGCGTCTGCTGATGCACTTGCAAGAATCATGTTTTGCATGCATTATTACCATCACTGTGATTTAACTGGCACTTAACACAAGCAATTAGTGCTACGGCATTGCATATCGGCCCTCTTGGACCTGAGAGGACCGGAAGTACTAGCCCAGCGGGACCATCAGGCTCACTCACGATAAAGCACTCCTTCACATTCTCACCTGATCTCTCATACAAGACCTGCAAAATCCTTAGCCTTTAAATTCTTGCTCTCTCTTTTTAGAATACAAGCAAATTCCCACACACACACCTCCAAGGCTATCTTTGCAGCCAGGAGTACTTTGATTCCCAGGAAGCCGAGTTCCTCACCATGTACTACAGACTCACAGCACAGACAGACCTGCATGTAACTGCAGCTCCTTCGATAACAAGAATCCTTCCTGTCAGACCTTAAGACACGCTGCTGTCGAAACCATCTTGGGTAAGGAAAAGATCGGACCAATTAAAAATGTAAATGGAGCGTTTCCTTCTCCTCTGTCTGTAACTGTCTCCCCCGCCCATCGCGCACATACAACTGACTAGTTGGTAGCACTGCCAGTTCACAAGCACTTCACCAACAGTTTTTGTGTGTGTGTGTGTAGCACACAAAGGCAGGTACGCAGGCATGCTAAGCAGGGATCGGCTTGCCTCTCTAAGGAGTTTTCAGGCCCCAGCAGGTGAGAAGAGAGTCAAGGAAATGGGCAGGCTTCAGAGAATGTAAGGATGGAAGGTGGGAAATACAGCCACGAGGACACTGCTGTGACCTGGGCCAGTGGCTCACAAATGGGTCTTGAACCCTCAACCACAGAATGAGGGCCACAGATGGAATCAGAGCACAACGGGAGCAAAGTCTTGGTTAGTGGCCTCCTGAGAAGTCCCTACTGACTGCATTAGGCCAGGGGTGGGCAGACGGTAGGTCACGGTCTCCCTCAAGTATCCTGTCTGTTGGGGTTCTGGCCCAGAATGGTAAATAAAGTCCAGAAACCTTAGGCAAGACTGCAGACTCGGAACCACTTAAGCATCGATCAGCTGCCCCTCCAGTGGTAACAGACCTTGAGAGTGCTCTAGATTTATGAATGCGAAAAAAAAAGTACCGTAAGAAAGGTCAAAAGACAGAGCAGACGAAGCTGAAGCCATCCTACCTGACTTAGCTGCGGCCGCCGTGCCACAAGACACAGGTACATCCCGCAAAGTGCCTGTGATGTCACAGTGGGGGAACACCCAGCACCGCTTCACACCTGCTCTCCCAGCACCCCTGTTATATAGGCCCCTGTTCTTCTAATCGTTCAGACCGGAGATTGAAGCCAAGAGGCAGCACACTGAGCGAGGCCTCCCACAAGGACTGCACGGGGGAGGTGAGAGGGGCTTTTGCTCTTTTGGATTTACAATGGTATAACAACACAGGGGGCAGCAATGAAATGACAATATACAGAACAGTTGCTGCAAAGTGCACACAATTATAAGAATAATAGACAATGATTAAGCTATAATACTGATGAGCTTCATGATGTTTAATCTTTGTTCTTAACAGCAAGGCACCATCAAACAAAGGATGATGACATCAAGATGAACGGACAGGGATGAACTTCTCGAGACCGTTCGTTTCGATGACTCTTTATCATACAGGTCTCAATTCTGCATCCATGTACAATAAAATCAACGACTGGATATTCTTGAATTCAGACGCCTTCTTCCAAAGCTCTTAGCTAACAAGTATAACCTTTCAATCGGACGAACAAGACTTGTTTGGAGCTTTGGAAGAAGGCGTCTTAATTTAAGAATATCCAGCAGTTGATTTTATTGTACATGGATACAGAATTGAGACCTGTATGATAGAGTCATCGAAACGAACGGTAACTCGAGAAGTTCGGCCTGTCCGTTCATCTTCATGTCATCATCCTTTGTTTGATGGTGCCTTGCTGTTAAGAACGAAGATTAAACATCATGAAGCTCATCAGTATTATAGCTTAATCATTGTCTATTCTTCTGGATTTACCTCATGTTCTCGTTCAGACCGTTCACACTGGCTCCCTACTATGGTATTGCAAGGTTTTCTGGGCGACTGTGCAGGCAATACACCTACCTTTTTTGTCAGGCGACATGGCATTCTCTGCTTCCAGCCGACCAGAGGCGAGGCGTGCGAGAGGGCTCAGAGAGCTGCAAGCAGCCCCCGTGCCAAACACAGCCCCACAGCGCTGCTCCAGTTCCAGGCACTTGCCCCGGCAGCACAACTTGTGCCCCTGAATAGCAATCTCGTGGATTGTCAGCCAGATCCTATTGGACTGTGAAGTGGCACTTCATCTCTGGCAACGGGATTGGGTTCAGTAACCCGGTAAGGAAACTCTCCGCCCGTACGCTTCATTTAAAAGATGGGGCAGGTAGTGCTGGAACACACGTTGCATTTGGCATCAGACCCTTGGGCGCCACATCGGGGCACCAACTCCAGCAGCAAATGAGGCTCTTTGCTGACATGGTGGCACCAATGGCGCGTGCAGAAAGATAGGCTCAGAGCTCCGGGAGAGGAACCAATCAGGAACGACCGACAGGGTTCCAGGACAACTCAGTGATTCCATATCCCCAGCACGGGTGGACTAATCAGAAGCAGGGGGTGGGACTTGGCACCAGTGTTCCCTCTAAGCTGAGTTAGCGTGAGCTAGCTCAATTTTTCAGCCTCTGGCTCACAATTTTTTGCCTTCGCTCAGGAAGGATGGCTCCAGAACAAACTAATTTAGGCAGTGGCCAAATCGCTCGCCCACAACTTTAATGCCAATAGCTCACAAGGTAGAATTGTTGCTCACAGGACTCCACAGCTTAGAGGGAGCACTACTCGGCACTGGGCTTGTGAGGCTCAGCCCGGCACAATATTGCTGCTCCCAGCCAGGTCCTGCAGTTGAGAGCAGGAAGGGGATTTGGAGGAAGAACTCAGGCGGCAGGCGGCTGCTGGGAGACTCCGTTCTGCCTCCAGACGGGATGCCCTGACAGCATTTCAGCTGCATTCCCACTTTCTTTCAACTGCAAGGCACCCAAGTGTGGAACACGTGACCTTCAGAGGGCGTGTGTGTGGCTGTGTCTCTGTGCAGGAAACTCGGTGGGGACGAACCACCGTGACAGATGGGGGCACCTTGCAGGAATCCACAGTGTAAGCTGCGGCATCAAGCTAGGAGTAGTAGTAATAGGACCTGAGTACGCAGAGAGCCCTGCAAGGGGTGGTGTCACCCATAAAGGGGGACTGCATCCTCTGAAAGCCTCTAAATGCCAACTGTGTGGGTCCCACCTTGAGGGTTTATGAATACACCTTGATGGATGAAAGACAGCCACAGGACTGGTGGCCCGTCAGCTGCAGTTCTGCCAGAACCAGAGCTCAGTTCCAGCCGTCAGCGGGCAAAGCTGCAGAAGGGTGCTTGGCCTGAGGGCGTCTGGGAGACACTGCTGGGAGATGCTCACTGCTAGTCCAATGGGTTTTTCCAGACCAGGTCAAGGACCCCAGCCTGTTGTTTGCCCCAAGACGATTACTTCGTTGCTGCCTTCAGGTGTCACAAAGAAACCGGCGCCTGCTTACAATGGGCATGAACCTGGAGCATTGCTGGATTTCTGCATGCCCAGAGCTGTGATCAACCACATCCCAACCACAAAGTCCTCAATTCACCTACCTCCTCCAACTTGTTGTTGCATCCAAATCCAGGCAGAGTAACAATCTGGGGTTTGTTTCTTCCCCAGTAACTGGGATCCTTAAATCAGGATTAAACTGTAGTTAAGAATCCTAGTTCCCGGGAAAGAAACCAATCTCAAATTGTTAAGGTGCCCGCACAGAGATACCCACAACAAACTGGAGTTAGCGGAAGATCTTGGCGGGGGGGCGGGCTGGGGGGGGGGGGGGGGGAGATGCAAGCCAGGGTTTTTACACAGGTGGCCAGGCTTGTCAAATCTCAACAGTTCTGTGCCTCTTTGCTACCTGCCCGGCAATGTTCCCTCTAAGCCGTGGAGTCTTGTGAGCAAAAATTTCCACTTTGTGAGCAACTGGCATCAAAGTTGTGAGCGAGACCTTTTGGCTTCGAAGCTTAGTCTATCAAGGACAGGTCCCACATGAGATATGGTCTAAGGAAATAAGGGCTAGTCCCTATATTAAATGTAGCAACTCTTGAGAAGAGTCTTTAGAAACCAGGAAAATAACATTACAACATAAAGAAAACTTGTAGACGACACCAGTTAAGCTGCTTCTGAGGAAGTCAAGAGACGAAACCAAGTACAAGCCGGCTGCTTTGTAAAGCTTTATAAGCCTTATATTCTTTTGACTGCCAACAGCAACTGTTTTGGAATTCCACTGTTATCTTCTGGCTGTTGGCAGCAATTGACATTTTGTTGTATTATCATGTTATTGTAAAACATTAAGATATTGTATGGCTAGATTGTATAAACGTGAAAATTTTGTATACTTAGATACTACTATCAAGTATAAAAGCAATTGTATTAAGCATACATAACTGATGTTCTAGAATGTATTATTGAACTGATATTGGCCCCAGTTTTGTTGTCTTTGGAGTACTGCATAAATTAGCCTGCTCTGGAGCCCTCCTTCATGAGCTAAGACAAAAATGTGTGAGCCGGAGGCTAAAAAACTGTGAGCTGGCTCACACTAACTCAGCTTAGAGGGAACACTGCTGCCCGGTGCATTGAGGTTACAATGCAAACCACAAAAGGTTTGGAAACCTTTTCCCCATCAACAGAGCACAAAATTATGGGTGTTTCCTTTTACACACTTGGAGCTGCCTTGGTCCATCAAGGTCAGCATTGTCTACTCAGGCTGGTAGTAAGTCTCCAGGATCTCAGGAAGAGTCTTTTAGCCTCATTCCAGGCACCCGTGTAACCACGTTTGAAATGAGATGCTATTTCACGTGAGAACGGAGCAATAACGTACTCGAGCATCCTTACCTTTGTTCTGTCCTCAATCTCATAGATGCGAAGCTGCATGGGAACGTTAAAGCTGTGCAGGATGTTTCCACCGAACACCAGGGAATC